CTGCTGCTCTGGTACATCAGACTCCCCAAGCCATGCAGGCCACCAGAACTCTCTATGGCATAGATACTGTGAGCTACATAAAAGACAACAGGGATTAATTTTAAATATACACCCACCTCCCCCCCAAGAAACGAGTCACCTTGGCCTTGACATTAACCTTGCACTAGGCCAGTACTCTGGAAAGCATTGATGTCCTTGCAGAAGCCATTTGCAATTCCTCATTGTAATTCAAACTGGCATTTATTCAACAGCCATACTGACTACATATTCTTCTCTGATTCTAATAAATTTTAACCAAATTAATCCTTTTTAAGACCTTTTGAGAGGGAATTATTTGACGGATCCATCCACTGCTGCAAAAACCAAGTCAGTAACAAAAATAACATTCAAGTGCATATACCTGCAGAGTTTTAAAAGGGGGAATGCCATTAATCCTTCCAGCTTGGGAAGAATATCCTCCACCAAGGAAATTATTCATCCTGGAGCTCAAGAGTTGCACTCATCATGTTTTGTACAGCCTACACTTGCAAGGAATAGAGGCCTTGATAACATGTTTATTTACTAAGGTGGGTAGAGTGTTAATGAATGGCTCCAACAAAAAAACCAAACACACACACAGAGGTACTTTTGTAAATTCACATAGAATACAGATCCATCTTCATGATTCAGCTAACAAGAGCAGATGTGGGAAAAACCTAGCCTGGTACATGATTTTAATGAAACTTTGTTACTTTCAAAAACCAGTAAAAAGAATTTTATTCTAGAGTTGAGATGGAAAGAGGGAGTTCAACTCAACAGCTGTCCTGAAGTATCAAACATGGTCCTTAGTATCTTTTGAAAGAGAATTTCTTCCAGGAGAAAAAGATAATAACCAGTCTGCCAAGAATTACTGCTACTCCTGCTCCTCTACTCTTTAACTTCAGAGAAAGCTACACTTGGTCCACACAAAAGCCTTAAATTGATACCTCCCTCCTACCTCAGAACGACTCAAAGCCAATGGAACCTTCACAACTGACTGAGCTTCACCCTGGAGGTGCAGTGTGAAGTCACCAAAACCCAACAGGCCACTGCTTATCAGCTCTTGTTCTATCCATTTTCAAGCTTACTTGACACTTAAGAGGACAGGAACTTGTCCTGTAACTGAGTTTGGCCAAGGACTGACAAGTGTTGAGCTCAGTGAAGCTCCACGAGGGCTCCAGCTGCCTCCAACAGTAACTAAGTCACAGTAACTCAGGTGATTTCAATGGTAAGAACATATGCTTCAGGCAAAACTGTTCAATGGACAGTTAAATTGTTATGAGTATGTCACACTAAGACAACAAAACCACCAGCACGAACGCAGCTTATTGCTTTTAAAAGTACTGGTTAAACTGGTAAACCTTTCTAAGATAGATATGCTCTGCAAAACCCCCAGAGACAGCCACAACAGAATCTTTCATCAGATGCTTCAGCAGAAGTTTTCATCAATCTTCCTGAGGTTATTCCTGCTACGAGGAGTATTTGTAAAAATATGACATCTGTGAGATGCAAAATTAAATGAAGGACTGATAATTAACAGCTCTGGTTGCCCTTTTTTTTTTCCACCCAGTTAAAAAGCTGAAGTACAGTAAGTGTTTAAGTTACAGGAAGGATTCCATGAAATCTTCCAGCAGAAGAGCAGTAAAAATAGCACACAAGTCCATTTGCATTCTGGCTTTCTCATCAAGATCCCTTCAAACTATTTTCATTTTAAAGGAACCACATCATTATTGCCTTACAAAATTTCTGTGAAGAAAGTTTTGAGTTCCATGTACAATTATGTAGTGACAAACAACATTAAATACTCACGTTCTTAAATAGAAACACAACTATTCCCACACAGATTAAATCTGACAGTGTGAAATATTTTAAGTAACACTGGAATAGTAAAAAGAAATTTCACTTTTCAAAAAGCAGAGGGGGGAAAAAAACCCTAATATTTAGTACATTTGCTCTAAGAATGCAAGATAGAGCATATTTTAAGGCACAGGAATGACCTCCAAAAAAAACCCTAATATTTAGCACAATTGCTCTGAGAATGCAAGATAGACTATTTTAAGGCACAGGAATGACCTCCAACAATTAAACTTGGATATTTGATAACTTCTAAAATACCACAGAATTTCAATTGCTTA